TTTCTTTCGTGAGGGATTTAGAAGAAGAACGAGTTTTAACCAATATACATACATCCATACATACATACATATATATATATATATTAATTAACTTTGATATATATATATATATACATATACACAAACACACATATATTCAGTTCCACTTCTAAGAATTCAAATTTTATTTTCTGAACAAACTAAGTTGTGCTTTAAATTCGATTTAAAATTTAATTTGAATTCTTCTCTGATACAAATGGAGAACTTAAATTTAAATATTCAACTCAAACTTGAATTATTGAATGCATATTTTCTTTTGTCATAATAAATAGTTATTTTCTTTTTAATTTTATTTAAAATTAGTTTTTATAATATTTTTAGTATTTAAATTGAATGAAAATTTTCAACAACTGTTCAAGTCCCTTCATTCACTTTTCTTAAATGCCACTTATCTCAAATTTATAAACATAGTACAAGATAGTTGAAGTATTCTATTGAATTGTTAGGGCTTTATATATGTATATATATACTCGAGATCCTAATCCCGTACAAACTCCACTAAAAGCAATCAAACCACACCATTATCATCCTCCTCATCACATTTTTGATAGTGACATCAGGACATGCCCTCCCAAGCCTGGCCCACCATTGTCGATTTAATACATCAGAATTCAAATATGGGATACCTTCATCACTTGCATATTAAGATTAATTAGAAGATATTAAGATTAGTTTGTGTTAAGCTGAAATTAGTTTGTTATTTGTAATGTAACCGTTTTTGTTTTCTTCTGCCATTTGTTGTACAATGGTAGTATATATTCCATTAGGCTGTAAAAGTGAACTCAGAGAGTATTTTTTTCTTCATCATGCTGCTCTCTCTTTTGCCCTCTCTTCTCTTTTTCTAACATGGTATCAGAGCGGATTAATTAATCAAACATCCTTAGCTCAGTGATTGAGCTTCAAACATTTAATCTTCAATGGCTAGAGAGCAATCAGATGACCCCCAAAACCCGTTCTTCCTTCACAGTGTCGACCATCCCAGTTTAGTCTTGGTATCCAATCTTCTCAATGGCAACAATTACAACACATGGGAGAGAGCAGTCAGAATAGCACTGAACGCCAAAAATAAATTGGGTTTCATAGATGGAACCTACGATCAACCGAGCAACACCGACTCCACTGCTGCAGCTTGGTCACGTTGTAATAGCATGGTAACTTCTTGGCTGCTGAATGCTGTAACAAAGGAGATAGCCGATAGCTTGTTATACCATGAAAGTGCACGATCCATCTGGACCGATTTGCGACTTCGTTATCAGTAGAGCAATGCGCCGCTTATCTACCAACTGAAACAGAGCATGAACAACCTTGCTCAAGAGTCACTCAGCATCAACGCATATTATACGCAGATGAAAACAATCTGGGACGAAATCAAAACTTATCAACCAGCTCCCACCTATCATGTGGAAACATGAAGGCGTGGAATGATTAT